ATGTTTTCATTCGTACCACGATCAACATCGGCGGTCGCCTCTTTTTAGGGCTCGTTGGTGCGTTGTACTAGTATGTTTCTAATTGGCTTTTGATGCGGTCTATATGTATTCAATCCAACGTATAATATATTTGCTTTTATTTTATAAATCCCCACTAAGTTAGGGAGCCAACAAGAGGTTCTGTTTTGGAGGTTTCTGATGGGAAATTGAATTTATCTGAAGCGGCGATCGAATTACGAGTATATGAATGTGCCGTACATCCTTTTAGCTTTGACGAATAGAAAATAGACTAGGCAAAATATTGGTTGGTAAGGAATAAGTTCCTACAAAAAATTGCTTTTCCAGGCACATTTTTCTTCGTCGCGCTCTTTTTTCTACCGGAAACGCCGAAATTTCTTCTGATTTCACGTTCGGACCGTCCGGCAGCTGAACGATCAGTGCGTTTCTATCACGGCTCCGATTGTGATGTCGACACGGTAATCAAGGATATTATTTTGGTAGGTCTATTTTTTGGAATTTCTTTTTTCTAGCAGTACAGAACCGGTACTGTGTATGACATCGTCCTCGTTAGTTCTGTCCTTTTCTTTTTTTCTTCTTCCGTTCACTCTTTTCTTTCCCCTTTCTTCCTTTCCTCCCTTCTTCCTCTCTTCCTTTGTCCCTTTCTTCCATTCTCCCGTTCTTCTGTTCTTCCTTTCTCCCGTTCTCCCTTTCTCCCACTATTCCTTTCTTCTTTTTCTCCATTTCTTCTACTCTCTCTTTCTTCTTTCTTGCATTAACCCTTTCTCAATTCGCTCTTTCACCCTTTCTGCTAATCTCCTCTTCTCCCTTTCTTCCTTTCTCCCTTCTTTCTTCTTTCTTTCTTTCTTTCTTTCTTTCTTTCTTTCTTTCTTTCTTTCTTTCTTTCTTTCTTTCTTTCTTTCTTTCTTTCTTTCTTTCTTTCTTTCTTTCTTTCTTTCTTTCTTCCTTCTCCCTTCTTTCCTTTCCTTCGTTCTCGCTTTCTTCCATCATCCCTCCTTTATCTCTTTCAACTTCCTCCCCTTTCTCTTTTTCTTAACTCTTCCGCCATTCATTTCTCTCTTTCTGCCTTTCTCTCTTCCTTTCGAGAAAAAAAAAACGCCGAAACAGCTTGAAATCAGGGATACCTTTTGAGAGGTGAATGAGCCTTCGCATGTAATGACAGACCTCTGGTGCTTTTGAAACGCACTTGAAACCTTAAATTGCCACATTCTTTCCTTGCGGTCTTGCCTTCATTAGACAGCATTAATGCCTTACGCCGAGGCTGCCTTGATGTAATGATTTATTATCGGCATTCTAACTGAATACATGACAAACTCAAGTAAGAGCGAGATATCGATATCGAAAAAAAACATACACTATAAAAGTTGCCTGTCGGCTAGGGGGGGGTGCTGGATAATTGGCGTCAGAACGGGCAAGTGCCGCCAACACTGCAAGCTCAGCGGTGCACGAATAAGAACTCCGGATACCCAACTTAGTAGGTCCGCCAACTTTGCCGAGATCCGACTCCCATCATGATAGCAGTTAATGGGAAGATAACAAAAAAAAAAAATTAAATAAAACAGAACATAACAACACTCAATATAGGTACAACATAATGCCATTCAGAAATAAAAACTCGCTTCTGAGCCATTCAAGTTTGCTCAAGGTACAGTTTCTGTTCTTCTGTTCTTAAAACCAACCCTTGAGAAATCAAGATCTTTCTGACTTTGCTCCTAAATGAGCGAGAAGAGTTTGAGTTTATGACGGAGGGCGGTAGATTATTCCAAAGCGTTATCACTCTTTGTCGTATAAGAAACGTTCGGAAATCTATTCAGGATCTTACTTCATACGACAAAAATGGCCGGTAAATCCAGCTATTGGACCTTTGTAGGAAGCAGAAGACGAGAGCAGAGACCGCAACATCATGGCAGTCTGCCGGAACTGATTCACGCGAACCCACATGAGAAGACCATTTACTCGTATCTTGCCTCGGGCAGGGTCGATTGGTAGACATCGTTGTTTTCTACAGTTCTTTTCCATCCCAGAATTTCAGAACACAGTGGCACTTTGGGTCGATGTTGTTGTCATCCACCTATTTCCTCGAGGAAATCGGTCTCGATCAAGCGGTCGCATCATGGAGCAGTACTGCAATGACACTAGGATATGTTCTAGGCGTAATTGCAGGATCGAAGTGGGACATCGAGCGGTGGCGCGCTCCCTCCCCCCCATCGTCCTTCATGTGGCTCAAAGGCAGTGATCACGATGGTTGGGGGGTGGCGCGGTTCTGATGACGTCATTGAAGATCATTGGTGGAAGGGCGCTGCGTTAAAAGGCAGTCCGAAACCACACCCTCTAGCGCCCTGTAGGCTCCAGTCCGCCAATTATAATACGTCCGAAAACCTCAGCAAATTTGAACCAGGCATTGTGACTCACTGCCTTTGAGTTCTCCTATACAGTTTAGGAGAATTCTTCGATGACACGGACACTTCAGATTAGGTCGTCGTACCATTCTGCTCTCATTCACCACCGTCGATAATCTCCTCCTGCCGTGGTTGGACGCGATCTGTGCTGAGCTCAGTCCGATAGTGGAGCCGCTCAAATACAGCTGCCTCGTGCTGCTCATTGCCTACGCGTTCATCTACGGGTTAGTCTTTTTTTCTATTTTTTTTTTCAAAAAAAGATTCATTTCAACTTCTTACTGCTTCCTATGGCAACAATTCCTTCCGTGGTTTTTGTATTAATTCCTTCTCTTTTCAGAAGCGGTGTTGGTCCGATCTCGTGGTTCATCTCGTCGGAGCTCGTCCCACAAAAGTACCGCAGTCTGGCTCAATCCACGTGCTATTCCTTGAATACCATAATCGTAGTCATATTGACGTTCTCTATCCTTCCCTTATATGGGGTTGTGGGCTCTTATGCATTTCTCATACTTTACACAGTACCATCCCTGATAAGCATAGTGATACTGTACTGTTATTTGCCAGAAACCAAAGGCAGGGAAATCCACGAGATCGTTGCTGAACTGCGGGGGAAGACGAAATCGAGCTGAGGGAAGGGTTCTTCTCCTTTCTTGATGCTCGATAATTGTAAAAAAAATTGATGTGTATCTAGAGTATTTTGGAGCCTACATCAACCAGTGGGTTGTAGAATAAGGTTTGGTTAGCAAAACATCTCACTTTTAATCTCAACCGTAGAAGCGCTTAGATTTTTTTGATCTATTTATTTTTACATTGCCTACCAGCCCGAGGTGGTTAAGGTTGTTCACAGTCAGTATTTTCCCTCCAAGACAATTTTGGTAGCATGGAGGTGAATCCGTACACCTGAGAAGTCCCAGCTATGCTTGGTCTGGGCAGCAGCCCTGCCAAACCTTCGGGAAGACCCTTTCCTGTATATGGGTTTGACCGCCCATATACTTGGATCCCTGGTCAAAAACAAATCAAGTTCAACGCTCAAAATTATTATCGCTGCTCAAATTTCATAAGGTAAGGGGCGGTACCAATAAATACATCCTTCAAGAACTTCGGTAATAACAACAAAGGTCGTAGATGCAATAAAAATTGCAGAACCTGTGCGGTTACTAATTGCGATAATTATGTAATTTCACATGTTACTGGACTACAAATTAATACAAATACTTGTTGCAATACTAAAAATGTTATTTACTGTTTAACATGTAACAACTGTGGTACTCAATATGTAGGAATGACTATTCGTAAAATTAAAGAACGTATTGGAGAACATATCACTAATATTACAAAGTAAATGTAAATGAAATTATTACAAAGAATGTAACAAATTAATTGGAGGGGGTTTTTATCAAAGAAGTAGTTTGTCTTCCGTTTCGCACGTGCCCTTATACGGAAAACAAACTGACACCGATATCCT